ATGCGAGGGACTACACACGGCTTGTAACGGTTATTTATTATCAGTCAAGGAAAGTCACTGGGCAAGAAAGAGTCACTGGGCAAGAAAGAGTCACTGGGCAAGAAAGAGTCACTGGGCAAGAAAGAGTCACTGGGCAAGAAAGAGTCACTGGGCAAGAAAGAGTCACTGGGGCAAGAAAGAGTCACTGGGGCAAGAAAGAGTCACTGGGCAAGAAAGAGTCACTGGGCAAGAAAGAGTCACTGGGCAAGAAAGAGTCTCTTTCCAGGCACATTGTTGGTTCTGTATTTCCTGCCCGGTGTTTGCTGATCAGGGAGTAATAGCGTACTAACAGTTAGTACAGGAACACTACACGGACAATCGTACTTCGAAGTAACACTAAACGATGTGGGTTTCGACTCCGGGTAACCAATTACACTCTGCAAGTACAGTCATCCTTGAGTCAGGGTTAATCTATACACACTCGCACACGACACCATGATTACGAGTTGCATAGGCCATGGATCACGTACATAAAGACATTCCAAATCCGGGGTCGAGATACACATCGTTTTGTGTGCTATGATCTCGTGTCGTGCCCCAACGTCCTATGAGCTCGCGTCGTGCCTCTATGTGCTATGATCTCGTGTCATGCCCCTACGTGCTACCACTCCCTAGTGCTAATGATACACCGGCATAACATATTTCAACTCATTTTATGCCTGGAATTTAAAATTGGAAGAGGCACAGAGCCAGGAAAAGCCCAGAAGTAAGTACACTTCTCTCCACATCTTGCTTCCAAATCATGCATAAGTAACACACCACATGTTGCCGAAGCTCTGGTCCTTGCAGGAGCTTCTTACCCATGCACATACACACTACTAGTATTTGATCCAGTAATCCAGTGATCCAGTAATCCAGTGATCCAGCAGCTTCTTACCCATGTACATACACACTATTTGATCCAGTAATCTAGTAATCCAGTGATCCAGTGATCCAGCAGCTTCTTACCCATGTACATACACACTATTTGATCCAGTGATCCCATGACCCAGTGATCCAGCAAAACTAATCCAGTGGGAGGATTCAGATTGCACAATGTACTTTTGCAACGTTAGATGGACCCTGCTAAGGGCCTTTTCACACTAGGTAAAAGAACACGAGTGCACGCGACATCATGTACCAGGTTTGTTTGGGCTGCTTTTCACACTGCTTGACTTGGAGAACGTCATGAAACATTTTCACGGGATTCCCCATGGTGACAGCCTACGTCACTGACGGCGGGAAAAGTTTGAAGTTACATCCGCACAAGAATTTCAAGAAATTTTGGATTCATGATCGCTCGAGGAGGCGTAGGAGAAACAAAAAAATCCCTTTTTCACTTCTTTGTTGAAGAATGCCTCCTGTTCGTGATGATAGGCGGTGAAGAAGACTTTTGGCGTTGATCTCACGGACGAACCCTGTCCCTGTGAAGCCCAGTGCCACAGCTTGAAGTTGTCCCACTTGGCACCTGCAGCTGCGAGATCTAAATTGCCTGCATTGCCACCACAACCATCACCTACAGCTGCTCCGGTTTGGGTTGAAACTGTGTACTTCTTGTAGAAATATCTCGCCTTCGACTTGAGGTTGTCGATTTTATTGCTGACAACCTTGAGCGAGAACTCATGCTCGTTCTTCTCCCCATATAGTTGCACAGCATACTTGTTGAGAGCCTCCACCATCTCGATCTCCCTCACTTTTCTTTTGATCATCTGACCGCCTTTCCTCCGCTGCTGCTCGCCCCACAGCTCGATCAATTTTTGTTCTAACTCATCGTTGAAGTGAACCAAATGCATTGCCCAGGAGAGTTGAGGAAACTCTCGACCAACACGACAGCCACAACAAAAAACTCTTCTCGAATGTGAAAACGGAAGAATGGCACTTTCTACAGGGGTCCTCGCTTGTCGTAAAAGGCACGTGCGCCGTTTTCATTTTAGCGCCATTTTCCACCCATCGTCATGACGATTTTCATGAAAATGTCACTTACACGGCGTTTTTTACCTAGTGTGAAAAGGCCCTAAAGTCGAGGGAACGTGAATATGCTCCGCAAGGGACTCTCACCAGGGTCACCACCACTCGTAGAGCAATACACATGTCAACACAATCCTCTACTACCACTGCGCTTTGCACTTTTCTACACATGCAGAGGAAGTCGTGCAATTTGACATAATAATCCAAATAAACCCAAGTTGCAACCAACAATCCAAACCTAGGTTGCAACCATGATTCAACAAATCAATTACCGCATTAGTCTAACAGAGTGTATCCTTTTTTCTTTCCTTTTTCGCTCCTGGCCAATCTGGAAAGTTCATCGTCTGGATGATTCATGTCCTGATGCTCTGCTGTACTTTGCTAAGACAACCCAGGAAAATAATTATACTCAATCTTTGCCTCTTTGGTGATGTCAGGAAATACACTCAATCTTTGGTGATGTCAGGAAATACACTGAATCTTTGGTGATGTCAGGATATACACTGAATCTTTGGTGATATCAGGAAATACACTGAATCTTTGGTGATGTCAGGAAATACACTGAATCTTTGGTGATATCAGGAAATACACTGAATCTTTGGTGATGTCAGGATATACACTGAATCTTTGGTGATATCAGGAAATACACTGAATTTTTGGTGATGTCAGGAAATACACTGACTCTTTGGTGATGTCAGGATATACACTGAATCTTTGGTGATACAGGTCGTCCCCCGTTAATATGAGTCCGGTTAATACATAAACCCCGTTAGTAAAATAAGAAATCTCAAGTCCCGGACGAAACGTGGTCACTTCCATACAAATTTTGTCGGTTAGTACATAATCCGTTAGTACATAAACCCCGTTAGTACATAACAATTCCTCTGTTCCCGCATGACACATACCTCGATAGTACATAATTTGTTGGTCTGCTGGCCTCTCAGAGGAGGCACATCATGTTCCAGTTTCTTCTTGTGGACCCAAAAATCAGAACGCACAGCACAAACCGACGAAGCTCTATTTTTTTCTCGAGTGAATGCCTGGCCTGCATGCAGGCGCGGCCGGGCGTACATGCATGGTGCATGCCATGCGCGTGCGCACGCGCATGGCGTGCATGTAGACCAGCGAGTCCAAAAAAGCCTGGTTTTAGTAGTCTACTCGTAGATCTACTTCCTGTAGATAGGCTGATGAGTGACGTCAACTGACGTGACTGTGCATGAGCTGCACGTACAGGGCATAGATTAACGGCCGGACATCGGACATTTTCCGGCCATTTTCGGCCACTGACCGGACGTTTTCAATTTCACCGGACATAGTGTCCGGTCAAAAAAGGAAAAAAGAGCAGCGACCTTTCGTGAAGTTTCGACCTTTTTATGCAGAGTTGGGCTTCTTCGGAGCTTCGTGCATATCGTACAACTTACACGTCTACACCGTAGCCTCGATCCCTCAGGCGTAGACTTCACCATAATCCGCCTGTAGCAACGCGGTTGCTACAGTCAATTCACACTTTCGACCTTTGGTACATGGTGTCGACTTCGCACCTGAATCGATGGGTTGAACTGCAGTGCAGTTGTTGGCTCTTGAGAGGAAGATGTCATCTTTTATTTTTCACTCTTTCACTGACCAGGAATGCAGATAGTCTTTTAGAATGTCTTCTGGAAAGCGAAAGGGAGATTCAGAGGACTTGCCGCCGGGCAAAAAAGTCCGTGGTGTGAAGGCCGCTACTTGCGATAAGTGGATCTCGGACAATGATGCAGAGCTGACTACTTCCGCCTGGCTGATTTATGACCGGCAGAAGAACGATCGGCTTGTAGCAGACTGTTTGAAGTGTTCCGTGTGCATCAAGTGTTAGTTTGTAGACAGAGTCCGCAGTTGTAAAAACTTCAGCGAGGCTTTCATAACCGGATCCAAGAACCTGAGAACATCAGCGTTCAAGGATCATGCTGGAACGGAGATGCATAAACGAGGAATGAATCTTTTCCGCAGGCAAGAGTGTCCCGCTCGAAATGCCCTCGAATTCGCTCCAATTGCGAAGGCACTGTGCGAGATGGACGATGGTGCTGCCGCTATTGCACGACGCAAATTCGAACTGACTTACCTTCTCTGCAAGGAGCATATCGCATTCGCAAAATTCTTGACTGCAACGCTTTTTTGTACATACATTTGTCGTCAGTAAATAGTTCAGTTTCTAATACAAATAAATTGGCGAATTGTACATAGTAATGTGTGAGCTACGTCCACATAATGAGTCATTGTGAATATACTTCAGCACTACTAAAAAAAAGAAGAAACACCCTGAGAATGTGTTGTGGAAAATGTCCGGGCATGTCCGGACAGATTTCAAAACGGAAGGACATTTGTCCGAGCTAAATGAAATCCTTAAACTATGCCCTGTGAGCACGTATGGGAGTCACTTGTTCTGACTCCGATCCAGGGAGTTGTAGACCAAAACGGGCTGGTGTGATCGTGAGTCGTCCCGATCCGGCCAGCTCTCTCGTACAGTCGTACAGTAGGCGTGAATCAGGGAGTTGTGTTTTACGACTCCCTCCCTCCGGAGGTCCCTAGTTCCTGACATGAATCATGTTCATAATGAACGTCGATCATCACTGCACTGAGTAACCCACGCACTGTCCAGATCGGACGTCATGCTCACGCGATGGGTCGCTTTCGCTGGCCCGCTTCCAGTTTTGCACTTGAAAGTCGTGCAGTGCAGCTCTCCCTATGTACGACTATGTGCATCCGAAGACTCAACTGCAAACCGCTAAGCCCAAAGCGGCACCAAGGAGTACTAAGACGGCTGTTAGCACTCCCTGGTCGGCGCTGGCGGCGCAACGAAGCGAGCGTTTGCATGTCACATCAAGTGTTTTGGACATCCTGTGGTGACATCCACTTTCGTCTTTTGTTGGCAAGAGTCGGAAAGCAAGACAAGTGTTTGTCAGGTTCAGCACAATCGAAGTTGCCTGTCGAGTCTCACCGCTGATCACCATGTCATTGAAGGTCACCCGCAAACCGCTGTCGCTGGAGGAGAAGGTGAAGATCATCCAACAAGCGAAGAAAGGAGATAAGGTGTGTTTCTAGCGAGGCATTTTTCCATTGTCTAGGGCACTAAGCCTTCAATTATTTTACAGGGCCACTTTCTTTTGATTTGTATTCTTTTCTCACCGCCCCTATTCTCATGGCCCCCTGTGTTGCTCTTTGCAATATGATAATTCATCTGTTAACTGCGATGTCATTTTGCGTCGTCAAGGAATGTCGTCATGTTCCGTCGTTACTGGCGAGGGTCACCAGTTGTTGTTCTGTGTTGCGTCTTCATGTTAGGTCGTCATGTCAATTGGTCCGGGAAGAGTATTAAATGTTTTCCCTTTTGTTTGCTTCTTACATTTTTCACGTGCATGCACATGTAGGCCAGTGACATTGCAAGATCATGGTCGCGACCAGCGCAAACGATCTACGCAGTTTTGAAGAAGAAGAATAAGAAGGAGTTGATGGAAGCATGGGAGAGTGGTGATCGGAGTAGCAAGACGAAGAGGATCAGAACGTCGAAATGGCCACAGCTTGGTGAATTGCTGTATGACTGGCTGGTTCGAGCACGTGCTGCGAACATCACTGTAACGGATGAGATTCTGTCCATTGAAGCGAAGAAGCTGGCATCAGGGCTGGGGTTGTCAGATGACGATTTCAACGCTAGCCACGGTTTTATCAACAGGTTCAAGGTGCGCCATCAATGCACCACCAAGACTAAGGCAGGCGATGGAAAGGACGCTATGGAGGATGTCACCATTGATCAGTGGCAAAAGGACGTCCTACCAACCCTTGTGGAGGGATTCGAGCCCAAGAATGTGTTTAACATTGATGAAACCGCTTTGTTTTACCGGATTCTTCCGCACAAGACGTTGACTCTGCGTGGAGAGCGCTACCAAGGCGGAAAGAAGAAGAAGGACAGAGTGAGTGTCCTCCTTGGCTGCAACATGGATGGAAGTGAGAAGCTGCAGCCGTTGGTAATTGGCCATTACCGGAAACCCCGTTGTTTCCGCAATACGGAGTCGCTGCCAGTCACGTACAGGCATTCCAAGAACGCTTGGATGACGTCTGACATTACGTCAGAGTGGCTCATTTCATTCAACACCAAGATGGCAAATGAGAAGCGCAACGTCATCCTCTTCATGGACAACTGCTCTAGCCATGCTAAGGCAACCGCCAACGCCAACTTGAGTAATGTCCGGATTCAGTATCTGCCGCCAAACTCCACATCACGGACGCAGCCACTAGATCAGGGCATAATACGGTCTGTGAAGTGCATTTATCGCCGCAAGCTGCTTCACCAGATCGTTGCAGCATTTGATGCTGAACAAGATCTTGATGATCTACTCAAGATCAACATCAAGGAGGCCATTCTCTTATTCAGTGCAGCCTGGAATGCAGTCACCGAAAACACTATCAAGAATTGCTTTCGGCATGCTGCGTTCTGCGCAGGTGTCGCAGTAACCAGTGAGCAGTGCCAGCAGGATGATGTCATGGAGGAGTTGGAAGAAGCAATGCATCAAGCTGCCAACGTCCTTGGTGTCCCCGAAATAGAAGGTGATGTCGGTGCTTTTGTTTCGGTGGATGACAATGTGTTCACTGAAAAGTTTGCGACCGCTGAAGAGCTCCTACATGGGCATGCAGAGAACCAGTCAGAGTCGGATTGTGAGGAGAGCGATGAGGAGGAGCCCACCACACCTATTCGTCCCAAGCCCACATGGAGTGAAGCGTCTGTGGCCCTGCAGACATTGGTGGAGTACATCCATTCAGTACCTGACTCCACGCAAGAGACCTTCGCTCACACAGCTGCCCTGAATGAGTTTCTCGTGAAACGCGCTATGATGACGAAACAGAGCTCGATCAAAAGCTTTTTTTCCGACAGCCACACCTCGGTCTACAGCGGCTACAAGTAGGCTTGTTGGTGGCAATTCTGACAAGCCTTCAGCAAAGCCTCGCAGTCATGTGCAGCTGAGTCTATCTGCCACTCTAAGCAGGGCCCAAATGCATGCAGCCCGCAATGTTGTTAGAGCTGATTTGACAGAAAGTCCTGCAGTTGCTGATGGTGATTCTACAGATTCGTCCTCGGAAAATGATCTCCCCGTGGTTCTTGACTCCATTCGCACTAAGGAAGACCAACATCGTAGTACTGTCATCCACTGCCGCTCATCTTCCAGTGATGATGATGATGATGATGATGATGATGATGATGATGATTTTTTTTTTTTTTTTTTTTTTTTGATGATGATGAAGCCACTTCTTTGGGCAAACAAAACACAATTTCCCAAGATGAAGGAGTGGAACCCTACACAAATAATAGTTTAAATGAATCCAACGCAAAGATCGTTTTTCCATGAAATACAACAATTGAACACAATTACATGCTTAAAGGCATGAAAGCAACAAAACAGCAACAAAAGGGTAAGCGCCATACCAATCCCGCATGCACAGTCAGGACACAGCACGATACTTAACAAACTAGACCTGACTCGGCCACGGCAATCGAGACATCATGAAAACATCTCGCCGGATGGTGGTACCGTGACCGAGCCCCACGTATGCACAACACAGCAGCACGCAGCAAAGCAAAAGACAGCCGACAGCGGAGTAAACCAATGACCTGGGAATAGTGAGATCCCGATGACTCGGCCTGCATCTGGCACAGTCTCTTGAGGAACACATTGCACAGCCTCCCACAACCACCATGCACAGAGAACACGAGAGGTGTGAAAGCGGCTCTTTCTACATTTGTGACTCTTGGCCCATATTCGTTCCACTTACGCCGCTCGTGCTGCTGGTACAATGCAGGAAGGGTTCTGGACCCGTAGGAAGGAGCATCTGGGCAAAATACCCTTACATCAAAAAAAGCTTCCTCCCCACGGGTCCAAAACCCTCGAGCGGCTATGTCCAGGCGCGCATCCTCTCGGCGGTTCGTTGACCGAAGAGGAAACCTCTCACCAGAAAGAGGTTGCAGCGCTGGTTCTGTCGAAACGGCAGTGCAGACTTCAGTCAATTCCCTCGCCAGCAGGTCACGTATCTCGTTATGACGAAGTGTCGGGAAGCCGCCCCTGGCGCAACATAGCTGATGCTCAACTGAGAACAGCTCACCACACACACAGGTTGCTGGTGTATTGGCTAGCGGCCATGCATATCTCAATGCCAGAGCATCCCGGAAGTCACGCTTGGTGAGACGAAAGCCATGCTCCGCCAGGGGCAGCACGCTCAGCCATGAGGATGATCCTTTCTCCGTGTGTTCTTCTATTCGTCGCTTCGTCATCTCATCGCTCGTGTCCACTATTTTGTTCCTGGCTGCCTTTGCGCGCTCCCGGTTTTCGGTGTGGACGACACGCTTTTTGTGACGCATTTCATCGATCATCCTCTGAAAGGGGGTACCAGCACCAGCAACATCAGCAGCCACATCCGGTCCAGGGTTTGAGTTGCCAGCGACCTCCCGCGGCTGCACCTCCGTTGCCGTCATCGTGGGAGTGGGAGACGCTCCACCACGGTCAGCAGTATCTGCAGAAGCCGGCACATCTCCAGCGAGAGAAATTGGATCGCTATCCTTAGCGAAATCGCCCAGAACCTCCTTCACCATAGGTCCGGACACTTGCTTGGAGCCCTGGTGCTCAAACCGTGGTCGAGTCGTGAGGTCCGGAAGGGCCATCCCACCATCCCGTGTCGGGAGCTTTAGAATATCAATGTCTTTCAGAGGCACGCTCGGTTGTCCCACGAGCTCCGGTAGAAGTGAGGAGTGAAGCTCCCGCTCCAACGGCGCCAAGTCCTCCGCAGAAACAGCCATAGTTCGAAACACATAGTTCCATCTGTTGACTAAGCCATGGGTCAACGCAGAGTATGCTGCATGCGGCTCTGATGCGGCATAATTTGCTAAAATCTCTGTATGTTTCACCCACTCTTCTACTTTTGTCTCTTTGAATTCTCCGAGGAATGCCTCAGTCCCGATAGCAGCGCCCAGATACTGTACGCCACGAGACTTGACGTGGATAGTTGTGTCACCAAAAGTCTCGGCAGCCAAGGACTCAAAGCCAGGCTTGACGAGTAGTTGCGTTTTTGTTTCGTTGATGTTGTAGCCGTATTTTTGGCCCTCTTCCTTAAGGAGGTTGTACCACTTTCGCAATGGGGAGAGCCCTCCGGCAGCTGCCGAGTCATCTGCAAACCATCCCTGGCACACATCTGCAACATTGGTTCCGACTGACTTGACGAGAGGGGTGAGAGCCGTGGCATAAATGGCCATCGCAAGAGGGTCACCCTGGGTTGTGCCCTCCTGTGACAATAAAGACTGGCCACCACGCACAAAGAGGGATGCAGGGTCTTGGTAAGTATTCAATGTTATTTGTGCTAGCGGGGGATGATGATGATGATGATGATGATGATGATGATGATGATGATGTTATATTTGTAGTTCGATTGTTGACACCTTTTGTCTTTTCTTTGGGTTAAAAGGTTAACTTCATCCTCGTTTTCTTATGATGATGATGATGATGATGATGATGATGATGATGATGATGATGATGATGATGATGATCTCAACCGATGCGCAGAAGCTCGTCTGGATGTGCGGGCTCGCGGCTTTTGGTCGTGGCAACAGGACGCTTACTTTGATGTGCGGATCACTCATCCCGCAGCGTCTGTGTTGTCTCGATCACAAGCCCTGAGTCAGCTGAAGTCTCACGAGCGAAACAAGAAAAATCAATACGCAAGCCGTGTGGTTAACGTGGAGCGCGGCTCCTTCACGCCACTTGTGTTCTCGACGTACGGCTTTAGTGGCCCAGAAACTACTCAATTCCTGAAATCATTGGCCTCCCTGTTTGTTGAGCGCCATACTGAACTGAAGTACCCACTAGTAATGGGCATACTACGCACCCGTTTGTCTTTCTGCTTGCTGCGATGGGCAGTCACCTGCTTCCGCGGTTGCCGCGGTTCGTACGGCAAGAGGCGACAGCCGAACTCATTTCTGGCCCAGTGCCGCCAGGCGGAGTAGGGTGCTGCCTTTGGCCTCAACTTAATATAATGCTATTTTGGTTTTTTCCCCTTTTATTACTCTGTGTTCATTGCTTGTTTTTGTATTGATTTACTTCCTTGACTGCTTTTGTGTTTCATCATTTTCCGGTGGGTTTTGTGTTGATTTCCCCTGTTCACTTTACATATTGTAATGATATACATTTGCTTTGCCCGTAAAAGAGGCTTTTCTCATGATGATGATGATGATGATGATGATGATGATATGCCAATCAGCCTCCTACATCCTAGAACCGCTAGTTGCCATGCTCGCGCTGCATCTCGAATCCTGTCGGAGAGTTCTGTGGAGAGTGATGATGATGCCAAGTCATGTTCATCCAGTCGCACAGAAAAATCACCAGCACCCACTGCTTCGTCACGTCCCCATGGCTCGGCTGTGCATACTATGTCCACTGGTGGCCCACAGTCTACTGGTACTTCACCGCTGCAGGAATGTGCTGGTGTTTCCTCCTCTCTCACATCTGGCGCCACCCTCAAATCACCTCTTGCTGCTGAGCCTTCTCCTGTGGCTGATGCTTCCAATGCTGCTTCATATTTGGGTAATGCAGCTGATAAGCCATCTTTGGTTGCCTCTGCACCTGAATATGTCCGGTGCCAGATTTGCAATGTGGCCGACCACAAGGTGTGCCATACTTGTCGAGTTTGCGGAAAGCTGTATCACCACATGTGCCAGTCAGAAGATGAAGATGGCAAGAGATGTGACGACTGCTTTTTGTCACTCAAATTTTAGTTTCTATTTTGCACCACAGTTTTCTGGCTAACCTACCATACATGTACATGTAACTCTCCTCCCACTATTGATGTGTCAGTCCAATTTTGAAATACTTATTGTGAACTCAGATCACTTTGCATTTTGCGGCATTCATGAGTTGCTGTCTACCATTCATGCATGCTGTGCATTACAGCTGTAAATGTAATGAAATACAATGTACATGTCACGTACAACAGCTGTCCTGTACCATGTGTACACTACTAACCTCTTATCCAGCACACACACTTACTTCTGAAGTAGATCTATTTCACCATTGAATCTCTTTTCAACATGATTTCCGTGAATTCCGTTATAATAATATATATTATAATTTTATGTTATAATGAGGGAATCAAGAATATCTTGCTCCTTAGTCACAGCAACCAGAAACGCTCAGAAAAGGTGAAAAAAGTGAAAAATTCCAGTACACAATAAAGTTATGTAGACTTTCGTTTAATACATAAACCCCGTTAATACATAACATTTGTCAGGTCCCAGAGATTATGTATTAACGAGGGACGACCTGTATCAGGAAATACACTGAATCTTTGGTGATGTCAGGAAATACTTGGTCCGGCTCATCGCAATTGTTGCTTATCTATCGCCACTAAGAACAGGAGTTTTTTTTACCGCTCTGTGAAATTTCCAACAGGCATAGTGAGGAAGCATGATACATGAATACTCTCCGCCACAAGAAAAAAAATTCAGCAATGGAATCAGGTGAAGCAAGTCGAAGAAAGGAAGCAAAGTAAGCAAAATGCACGAAATAAATCAGCGAAGAAGCGCGTTCTTGCACTCATACTAGTAATACAGGTCCAGAGTACATTCAACTCCGCATCTCTGGAGCCGTGCGGCTACATGAGCTGACATTTGCTGGTGTCTAGCTGCTGGCGTAAACTGGTACGTGGTAGAGTATCTCTTGCGTTCTCAGCCTATCATAATTATGGCAGCAATGGGAAAGAACCAGTTGTGGCTGTCACTTCGGAGCTTGAAGGAACCGTGGGCAGTGTGACCTGTGTGTCACCACAGTGTGTTTCAACAAAGCCTTCGAATGAGGCATACAGGCCTTTCCAGACAGCTGTCATACGCTTCGCTGGATATGCTGGCCACAACTCTTGTAATATAATGCGGCTGCTAGGTCCACCAAGAGAAGGAACAACCAACACGTCGGCCGGGCGCATCCATCAAAAACACTTTCTTCTTCAGCATGACGCTCATAGTCATACTCCTCTGCAGTGCACGCGTGCCTGTCACGCTCTCCAGGCCAGGATGTCAGTTGCCCCTGCTACAGTTCCGGTCTTCGGGTCTCTGCGCGCGCTTGGCTTTTGGCAACACAGACAGTGAATGGCCAGATTCCCACTTCCCAAAAAAGTCGAATACATCGCGATTCAAAGCGCTAGTCGCGATCATTTTTTCCTTGGTGCCTCCTTTGATCTTGCCATCACGATCTCCCAAGCAAAAGTCAGTTCGATATCGTGATTGGACTGGGTTTTACCTGTCAAAAAGTGCGTGGGGATAAGCGACAATTGCGATGAGCCGGACCAAGTACACTCAATCTTTGCCTCTTTGGTGATGTCAGGAAATACACTGAATCTTTGGTGATGTCAGGAAAATTGAAATACACTCCATCTTTGGTGATACCAGGAAAGGACCGTGAATGGGATAATTATATGCTTTCACCAACCTTTCATCTGTCAATGAAATCTCCTGCTCCATGATGGCATGAACTATAATGTTTGGCACTGCAATGAGTGCACTTATCAGCAAGGCATAAAGGCATGCACACGTATGCTCTTTCCACGCTGTCGGCTCCTGGTCCAGTGTGGACACATCGTAAAAACAGTACAGGTAGACTCCTGGTCCAGTGTGGGCACATCGTAATAACAGTACAGGTAGACTCACACACACACACACACACACACACACACACACACACACACACAGAATTTTGCGACTGCAGGGGGCGGTTTGCCATTTTTGGGCTCCGCTTGTTTTCAGTAAATCTGGCAGTTTTTGCCCCTCGGGGGGCTGGCTTAGCACGATGGACACAAGTGTATGTGGTGATATCACAGTGGAAGATCAGTTTGGTGTTCCAGACCCCGTGAGGAAAGATTCTGCCCATCAGTCTTGCTCAACATGTGAAAGCCATTTTTTAAAATCCTCGAAGTAATGGAAATGGAACGTAGTCTTGCTGCCGATCGAGAGAAAAGATTAAATAGTAAAATCGACGACCTCACCCGTTTAGTTTCCTCCCTGAAGGAGGTAGTTATGGAATCTGGATCACCAACGTATTCAATGGCGGCAGCGAAGGCAGTCGGCCATGACGAGACAAAGAGCAAGGGAAAGCCACGCCGCGCACGGAGCAGTTTCAAAGCTGGTGAACAAGTTCAAGCTGAGTCTGCAAAGTCCGTACGATTTACGAATGCGCCAACATCTCAAGACAGCCGTGCTCAACCGGATCTGGAAGCTTCAGCAGCCACCTCCACGTGCGAGGACGTTGACTCGGTTCATGAACCCCGTAGACGGTCTACGCAGAGATCGGACCTTGGCCTTGATGACCCAGGAGCACGTGCAGAGGGACATTTGAAATCAAGTGCTGCATAGAAGATCGTCGATTGCCTCGAAAAATTTGAGGATATGCAGGACGATGTCGAAGCTTCCTGGAGGCTGGTCACGAATACTAAGCCCACGCAGAAAAAGTCAGTTTTCTTCGTTGGGAACCTGCTCCCCGAGATGCAGAGCGAGCAGTTGAAACTGTTTATTGAACGCAGAGCTGCAGACATCGACCACCCTGTCTGTGTTTTTGAGGTGAAGATCTTCCCCAAAGAATCCTCATCATCGGCCAGGATCAGCATCAACGCTTCCAGTGCGAAGCTAGTCAACAGCCGCCGTTTCTGGCCTGCTCCACTGTACAGTAGGTGTTGGAATTTCGACAAGTACAGATCTGAAACAAAGGACAGCCACAGCAGTATGAATTCAGCCCAAGATGACCTGCATAGCCTTCCTTAACATCTGCAGCCTCCGCAGAAAAGTCGACGAACTCAAATACCGTATTTCCACAAATAGTAGGCCGGTCTACTATTTTTTCAACCTCGTCCTAACCCGGCCTTATAATCAAGGACGGTCTTGTATTCGAGGACGGTCTTTTATTCTTTCAACCCAGTTTGACCCCGGTCTTCTATTTCTCGCCACACAGTTTTACCCCCGTTCTTCTATTTTCTTCTACACAGTTTGAGCACGGTCTTCTATTTTTTTCCCACAGTTTGAGCATGGTCTTCTATTTTTAACACAAGAACAAAGACTCATTTAGTAGGCCCGGTCTTCTAATCGGAGACGGTCTTTTATTTTTTCAATCGCCCCCTGCCCCGGCCTTGTATACGAGGAAGGCGTTGTACACGAGGACGGCCTTTTATTTGCGGAAATACGGTTTTTCGTTTCCAAGCATGGTGTGCATGTCATGGGCGTTGCTGAAACATGGCTAGCTGCTGATGTACCTGATGGAGAGGTATCCATTCCTCACTACAAGCTATTCAGGAAAGATCGTGCCCTACAGCACGGCGGTGGCGTTTGCATATACTGTCATGAAACGACTCGTGTCAAACGACGTGCTGATCTGGAAACAGATTTGGAAATTTTGTGGATTGAGGTCATGGAGCAAAAGCACAGTACCCTGGTGGGATGTGCATACCGTCCACCAGATAAGTCAGTGGCTTACTGGGATGTATTCCAAGCCAACATCGAAAAGGCAATGCAGGGAAGACAGTCGCGCGCAGTTCTCATCGGAGACTTTAATGTGGACTATGCCGATCCTCTTGCGCGCCGTGCAAATCACTTGCACTCCACACTCACACACTGCAACTTGTTTAACCATGTGTCTCAGCCGACAAGAGTCACGTCCTCTTCGGCATCTGTTATCGACCTGTTCTTGTCTAACGTTCCCATAGAGGGTGTATGTCGCACTGTCTATGTTGATATGAGCGATCATTTTGCCATCCTGGCCCATATGCCTGGCTTTGGCATGGGAAAGGCATATTCTGGACACCCAGCCGCCAAACGCAAAGGTAGGCGACTCCATCGGATAAATTGGAACACATTCAATGAGGACTTGAACCATCATCTAGCGACTTGTACCTTTACCGGAAATCTTGAAAATGCTGTGCAGAGTCTTACCACCTCTATCATATCTACCCTGGATGTGCATGCACCATTGATTCATCGGCGCCAACAGGAGAAACGTCCTTGCCCCTGGTTAACACCGGAGCTAGTTGCCGCGGTTCGTGAGCGAAACCAGTTCCATCGCCGGTTGATGAGCGACAAAGGCAATGCAAATCTGCGTGAGCTCCACCGTCAGGCCCGCTCTACTGCAAGGAAACTGGATCGCCGTCTACGTAATGCCTACTTCATGAATCAGTGTGCAACTCGTGATCAGAGAAAGTTGTGGTCAGTTATGAACATCGTCACAGGCCGTGCTAAGCAGCGTCAAGAACCTCAAGCCGGCATCGAGGACCTGAGCAAAACCTTTGGGGATGTTGTGCGCGACCCAGACCGACCATCCACGCTAACACCACCAAGTGGACCGATGCCAGCGTCTAGCTTTCTGCAATTTGAACTGGTGCCGGTGAGTGATGTGAAAGCTTGTCTGAAGTGCATAAATCCCGCGAAGGCCACGGGCAGTGATTGCGTTCCTGGTTTAGTGTTGAGGGAATGTGCCGATAGCCTTGCTGGGCCACTCACGGATAACATTAACGGATCACTGTCCACCGGAACAGTACCGATGATGTTCAAGCAATCGTTTATTAGTCCTTGGTATAAGTCAGGAGACCCCACAGTGCCAGTTAACTACCGCCCAGTATCCTTATTGCCGATTATATCTCGTATTCTCGAACACTCGAACACATTCTCGAAGCAGCTTGTGGAATATGTCACAGCGCATGAACTTTATCCGAAGACTCAGTTTGCGTATCGGAAGTGTCACTCGACGGAGGATGCACTTGTGCTTGCCGTCAACAGATAGGTGCTTGCACGCTCACATCGCCACTTCACGGGCATCGTCATGGTAGATATGAGTAAAGCCTTTGATCGGGTGCAGCATGAACGACTCGTCTCTGAGTTGCACTCCCTTGGTATCTCATCTAGTGCTCTACAATGGTTTTGTAGCTATCTGACTGAAAGAAGTCAACGAGTTCGAATTGAAAACTCAGTCTCCTCGTCAGTGCATTGTTCCCGTGGTGTGCCAGAGGGCAGTGTACTTGGTCCCTTGCTGTTTGTTCTATACACGCGCCACTTAGATGCCATCCTGCCTGAACAAGTCATCCACCAAGAGTTTGCGGGTGACATCATATTAGAGTTCTCCGACAGCGATCTCAACACTGTGTGCCGACAGCTTAGTGCAGCTGCCACTTCTGTATCACGTTGGCTTGCTGAAATTGGGCTGTTGCTCAATGCGAAGAAGACGCAAGTCATGGTCATCCAGCCACGTGGACAGGGAGCTGCCATTCCTGATGTATTCTGTGGTCACGACGCACTCAAGGTTACCCCTACTGCCAAGTACCTTGGGGTGGTCATTGATTGCGAACTGTCATGGAAGCAGCATGTGGACAACGTGACTAAGCGAACTGCCCAGACCATTGGTCAGCTCTGGCGCCATGGTTGTGCTCTAAGTTTATCAGCCAGACGGTCGTGGTTCATTAGCATGATCAGCAGCCATCTCTGCTATGCGTCTACGGCTTTCTATCCTTGCCTCACAGTGCAGTTGTTGGATCGCTTGGTCAAGATTTTCAAATCCGGAATTCGCGCCGTTTTCCAGGTGCCTTCTACCACCCCATCATCCCCTCTTCTCTGTCGACTTGATCTTCTTACTCTTACTCAGATATATCAGCAAAAATTATTATTTTTTGTTCACAGATGTCTTGGTGCTGAAATGATCAGTAGTCTTTTCAGCACTTTCTTTGATTTAGTCAATGGTCGTGCCACGCAGGGTCAGGCTTCACGTCTGCTTCGTGTCCCGTTTTTGCCGGGTCCTTCCGGTCGATCCACTGTTCAGTTCATTGGTAGTGTGTACTGGAACTGCCTGCCGCCTGATGTCCGCTCCATTACAATTCCTTCTGCATTTAAGAAAGCAATTACAAACGATATCTTAAACTCTCTTACCCTCTCCTAAGATCTCAAAGGCGCATAACTGTCAACATTCCCTTAACCCTGCAACCTTTGCATCCGTTGCATTATTTTCATGAAAAATTCATCAAATTCCAATTCGTTACTTGTAGTACTCCCTCATTGATTTGTTTCCGTCTTCTCTTTGTGCCTTGTTCATGATTGTATTTTCCTCTTCCTCCTTTTCTTATATCACCACCTTCATCATTTTGCGAGAACTGTGGCAATACGCCCAGTGAGAAGGCAGATTTTGCCTGTGCTTCTGGTGAAGTAAAATAAAGCTAAACAAACAAACAAACTCCTGGTCCAGTGTGGACACATCGTAATAACAGTACAGGTAGACTCCTGGTCCAGTGTGGGCACATCGTAATAACAGTACAGGTAGACTCCCTCTAATTCAAACCTCAAATTGCCAGGCAATCTCTTATCTCGAACTTCTAATTCTCCAAATGCAGTCCCAAGTACTGATACATATGTCAAAATGCTCGAAATCGCATACTGATTAGTTTGCACATTATATTTGCATCAACGAAACATAGGTGGTCATGTACAATGGATCAGTTCATTTCATCAAAACCCTGGATCGATACAAAGTCATTGGACATTATCTTCATCTTCTACAAAGTTCAAGTGAAGAAGTTTTCAGTCACTGCAGCTGTCCTGAAACAGTTTCAACGGAAAAGAACAGCGCTGCCTTCTCTGCGTCATGAAAGCCCGTCGGAGAGCAGCACGTCGTTCCGAAGAACGAAAGTGGAGCATAGGCATAAATACTTTTTACGACTTCCAGTTGTTGTTCAGTCCCAAAATTCTCTACGCGTGACCTGGCGCAGCATGACAAGCCACCGAGATATGCGAAGGGAGCCAGCCACGTGGAAGAAGTCGTCTTCAATCAAATCTTTGCACTTTGCCCTGCACAGGCTTGAATCAAATATCGAGAGAAGGTGGGTTTCTTCAACGCTGTTGTCCATCCTGGACCAGGGATCGATTTTTGAGTTACTCTTGGCTAGAGAAGGAGAAAAAATGAACTTCGAATTACGAGTACCGCAAAGTCTGCTGCAAACGCCCACCCCATTTTTGCAAGATCTGCTGGCCTGCACGCACTGACCCCATGAACTGTCACCCCTATTGTACAAAAGTGCATCTCACACCGTAGCGCGAAGAGCGCATTGCTATTGTAAACTATGTCCACTTTCCTGGTTTCAAAATCTCTTTGGACACCAACTACGAGCTAGCTCGTAGTGATTTTATGATGTTGGTTGTTTTATTTCGCAAATCCAAACGGAAGTTTCTTGTTTGTTTGTTTAGCTTTATTTTACTTCACCAGAAGCACAGGCAAAATCTGCCTTCTCACTGGACGTATTGCCACAGTTCTCGCAAAATGATGAAGGTGGTGATATAAGAAAAGGAGGAAGAGGAAAATACAATCATGAACAAGGCACAAAGAGAAGACGGAAACAAATCAATGAGGGAGTACTACAAGTAACGAATTGGAATTTGATGAATTTTTCATGAAAATAATGCAACGGATGCAAAGGTTCCAGGGTTGAGGGAATGTTGACAGTTATGTGTCTTTGAGATCTTAGGAGAGGGTAAGAGAGTTTAAGATATCGTTTGTAATTGCTTTCTTAAATTCACACGGTAGCGTAGAACAGAGTATCAGTATGGCAGGAACAAATACACGTCTGATGGTGTAACGAAGAACAGAGTATGGCAGGAACAAATACACGTCTGATGGTGTAACGAAGAACAGAGTATGGCAGGAACAAATACACGTCTGAAGGTGTAACGAAGAATAGAGTATCCCAGGAACAAATAGACGTCTGATGGTGTTTCAAGCCATCATTTCCAAATCACGCAACACGCAAAGGGTTTATCTCGAGCATTTCAGAGTTTTCAACAACGTATCAGCGACTTTGTAGGTGTAGCTTCAGTGACATCTCCCCTGTTCAACTTGCAACTGCAATACTGCGACCGGTCAAGTCATCGAATGACGCTTCGTCAGAACAATCACCATTCCATTCTGAAAGCACGACATCGTGGCACTGCATAAATGTCATTATTTGAAAACCAGATGGATCCTATACCTACGGCATTATAACATGGAGAACGAACTAATAATGAAGACGATTCATTTATCGAATGAAAGGAAATCTCAACAGAAGGTTTTCTTTGCAGCAAGATAATGACAATCGCTTTTGCAGAGCCTCCAGGTAAGACATAGGCAGTTTGTAGGCATTACAGTCGGTCTCGTACGCATTCGACCTTCATGACAGTTTTCTACAACTATATTGACCTGAAAAAGAGGAAAAGAGTATAGGCGTTTGCTGCGAAGTGGGCGTTTGCAGCAGACTTAATGGTAGAGCAACTTCGTCTCACTTCAAAATAAGCGCTCGAAGGACATAGTCACTGTACTGTCAACTGCTCTTCTGTACCAAGACAGAGTTTGAATTATTATCCAGCGGGCGCACTTTTCATACTTCGAAATATGCATTCGAATTTGACTTGAAGTGACTTGGAGAAGATTGGTACGGCGAAAAAGTTCGAATTACACGGAATGTTCGAAATACACCGTATTCGAATTAGAGGGAGTCTACCTGCTGTATGAACTTAAAGTCAAACATGTAAATAAGCGAATTTGCATAGTCTTTCTGCTTGGGTTCTTATTTTATGGTTCCACGCAATTGACTTTGTGAATAAACCCATTCTCAATTGACTTTGTGAATAAACGCATTCTCAACTGACTTTGTGAATAAACCCATTCTCAATGGACTTTGTGAATAAACCCATTCTCAATTGACTTTGTGAATATACACATTCTCAATTGACTTTGTGAATAAACGCATTCTCAATTAACTTTGTGAATAAACACATTCTCAATTGACTTTGTGAATAAACACATTCTCAATTGACTTTGTGAATAAACCCATTCTCAATTGACTTTGTGAATAAACACATTCTCAATTGACTTTGTGAATAAACGCATTCTCAATTAACTTTGTGAATAAACCCATTCTCAATTGACTTTGTGAATAAACCCATTCTCAATTGACTTTGTGAATAAACACATTCTCAAGTAAATAAGCTCCCGCGAGTGTGCAACTCTGGATACAGTGTGCAACTCTGGATACAGTGCGCAACTCTGGATACAGTGTGCAACTCTGGATACAGTGTGCAACTCTGGATACACTTTCTATGGGGTACGCCCACGGCAAAAACTCACATCACATGGCGTAGTGTTGACGTACATTCCCAGTCAGCTTCAGCGAGCAATAGAGTAGTAAAAATAGCACTCCCTGATAGAAAAGCACTCAGGTTATGCCAGTGACCAATATGGTCATGGGAGATATGCGGACTGCTCACGTGCTGGCCGATCCGTACTGTACATAGTATAAACCGTACTTAGAACACGTGATGTGAGTTCTTGCCGTTGGAGACTCCATATGAGGAGTTGCACACTCTTCGTCACACTAATAGCCACTTTGGTCAGGTTGTGTCATGTGAAGAAGAGAATTGATAAACAAAATACTGCTATGATATGAAGAAAGTAGAGGAAGGAAAGATCTTTCTCAAACATACAAATGAGAAGGAAGATGATCAGTATCCAATATTGACGTATGTCACAAGGAGGAAAGGAGTGTTGGTTTGGTTAGGGGCTGGGTGTGTGTGTGGGGGGGGGGGGGGGAGGGGGTGCTGAGGAGGACATGAGAAACTAGCCGGCAGATTCTCTGAATATAATGATGTGTAGGACAGCATACTTGCTTGTTAGCAGCAGGCAGATATGCTACATGACAGGCATGCAAGGCATTCATAGCAGTCAGATGCATATGGTTTTGCCGATCCTTCTATCCACAAAATGCTGCGAATAACAGCCATGGATAGAAGCCATGAATAGTAGCCATGAATAGTAGTAATGAATAGTAGTCATAGATAACAAACAAAAACCAGCCAAGCACAGCAGCAGCAGAAGTAGCTAGACCCCAGTGCCACATTGGTTATGCGGTGTCACTACGCACGGTGTTGACTGGTTTCCGTATAGTACATACATGTGTGGTACATACATGTATAGTACATGTATGTACTGCACATGCACGAGCATGTGTATTCACAGTAATGCATACCGACTATGCATGTCATATTGGTGCACATACAAGTCCATACAAGTGTGTACATGTCATATTGGTGCACATACAAGTCCATACAAGTGTGTACATGTCATATTGGTGCACATACAAGTCCATACAAGTGTGTACATGTATGTACAATAAGTGCAATGTTGTTGAGATGAAGCACTACCACGGCACCACCACAGCACTGCCACGGCACTACCACGGCACCACCACAGCACCGCCATAGCATGGGCTTTGTGACTCTTTAGCACCAGCTGGCGATGCCACAGTGTGTTCCGCTATCGACAACTGTGACATCAGCAAGAGAGCCATTATGATGTCATAGCATGTTCAGCAGCAACAGCTCTGACATCATAAACGATGACTCCAGACAATCCAGAGTGTGGTGGAAATGAGCAGCTGTGACATCATCACAAGCTGCACATATCCCAGTGAGATCCACTACATTATTGCATTACTATGTGTGGTGTTGTTGCTCAGGTGTCAGGTGGGTTACCGTAGGCTGATTTTCCCCTGGTAGAAGACATCTTCTGGTTTACCCAGTAGCACAATACAATGGCCATGGGTATCAGTGACAGCCAGTGATTTGATGTGAACACTGCGTTTGAACAGATGCTGGTATGCATCCACACTTACCATAGCATCATGATCACCACCGGATAGCTGAAAGAGCAAACGCAGACTTCCTGTATACACGCAAGCACACACACACGCACACACACACGCACACACACACGCACACACACACACATATATACACACGCACACACACACACACACACATACGAATGCGCAACCGAAAATGCACACATAAGTACACACATGCGAGTGTGAGAGCAAAAACAAAAGAGAGATACATGCAGAGATTTTCTTTGGGCAGACCACCACAGCTCAAGTAGCTAACCCTTTTGCGTCCACCAAACAAGGCCAATTCACGGTCCGAGCGACAGACCGTGTCCCATTTTGATCATAATTTTGATTTCCCTCGGACGAATTAGGAGATCTTGGGTGTTTTGAAAAGCTTGAGCTCTGAAGAGTACTAAAGCTTGAGCTCTGAAGAGTACTAAAGCTTGAGCTCTGAAGAGTACTAAAGCTTGAGCTCTGAAGAGTACTAAAGCTTGAGCTCTGAAGAGTACTAAAGCTTGAGCTCTGAAGAGTACTAAAGCTTGAGCTCTGAAGAGTACTAAAGCTTGAGCTCTGAAGAGTACTAAAGCTTGAGCTCTGAAGAGTACTAAAGCTTGAGCTCTGAAGAGTACTAAAGCTTGAGCTCTGAAGAGTACTAAAGCTTGAGCTCTGAAGAGTACTAAAGCTTGAGCTCTGAAGAGTACTAAAGCTTGAGCTCTGAAGAGTACTAAAGCTTGAGCTCTGAAGAGTACTCTATGACCAGAATCTACTAGTACTCTTGATTTTGTAAGAGAAGCGAAAATCAATCTTCAATTCATATTTTCAACGAGGACGCATGGCTAATCCTTTCGCAGGTATGCATAGTCCCAAATGTGAACTTGTAAGCTGACAAGATGTACCATTTGGGAAACCTTGACGTCAAGTTCTAGGAGGAAAGAATACTCATTTCCAAGTTTAACATACACCATGGGAAACCTTGTTTCGTACGCGCTGCAAAAACATACCTGCTTCAGAGGCATATCACTTTTCTTCGGAGCATGATATGACCCTCCAGTTTTTTGCACATCAAAGGGTCTTTTGTCCTTCTTTTTACACGAAATAAGTGCCAATTGGATACAAAATGAGTGAGTTGTTTGTTTGTTTGTTTGTTTAGCTTTATTTTACTTCACCAGAAGCACAGGCAAAATCTGCCTTCTCACTGGGCGTATTGCCACAGTTCTCGCAAAATGATGAAGGTGGTGATATAAGAAAAGGAGGAAGAGGAAAATACAATCATGAACCAGGCACAAAGAGAAGACGGAAACAAATCAATGAGGGAGTACTACAAGTAACGAATTGGAATTTGATGAATTTTTCATGAAAATAATGCAACGGATGCAAAGGTTCCAGGGTTGAGGGAATGTTGACAGTTATGCGTCTTTGAGATCTTAGGAGAGGGTAAGAGAGTTTAAGATATCGCTTGTAATTGCTTTCTTAAATGCAGAAAGAATTGCGATGGAGCGGACATCAGGCGGCAGGCAGTTCCAGTACACACTACCAATGAACTGAACAGTGGATCGACCGGAAGGACCCGGCAAAAACGGGACACGAAGCAGACATGAAGCCTGACCCCGCGTGGCACGACCATTGACTAAATCAAAGAAAGTGCTGAAAAGACTACTGATCATTTCAGCACCAAGACATCTGTGAACAAAAAATAATAATTTTTGCTGATATATCTGAGTAAGAGTAAGAAGATCAAGTCGACAGAGAAGAGGGGATGATGGGGTGGTAGAAGGCACCTGGAAAACGGCGCGAATTCCGGATTTGAAAATCTTGACCAAGCGATCCAACAACTGCACTGTGAGGCAAGGATAGAAAGCCGTAGACGCATAGCAGAGATGGCTGCTGATCATGCTAATGAACCACGACCGTCTGGCTGATAAACTTAGAGCACAACCATGGCGCCAGAGCTGACCAATGGTCTGGGCAGTTCGCTTAGTCACGTTGTCCACATGCTGCTTCCATGACAGTTCGCAATCAATGACCACCCCAAGGTACTTGGCAGTAGGGGTAACCTTGAGTGCGTCCTGACCACAGAATACATCAGGAATGGCAGCTCCCTGTCCACGTGGCTGGATGACCATGACTTGCGTCTTCTTCGCATTGAGCAACAGCCCAATTTCAGCAAGCCAACGTGATACAGAAGTGGCAGCTGCACTAAGCTGTCGGCACACAGTGTTGAGATCGCTGTCGGAGAACTCTAATATGATGTCATCCGCAAACTCTTGGTGGATGACTTGTTCAGGCAGGATGGCATCTAAGTGGCGCGTGTATAGAACAAACAGCAAGGGACCAAGTACACTGCCCTGTGGCACACCACGGGAACAATGCACTGACGAGGAGACTGAGTTTGCAATTCGAACTTGTTGACTTCTTTCAGTCAGATAGCTACAAAACCATTGTAGAGCACTAGATGAGATACCAAGGGAGTGCAACTCAGAGACGAGTCGTTCATGCTGGACCCGATCAAAGGCTTTACTCATATCTACCATGACGATGCCCGTGAAGCGGCGATGTGAGCGTGCAAGCACCCACCTGTTGACGGCAAGAACAAGTGCATCCTCCGCCGAGTGACACTTCCGATACGCAAACTGAGTCTTCGGATAAAGTTCATGCGCTGTGAGATATTCCACGAGCTGCTTTTTCACAAAGTGTTCAAGAATACGAGATACAATCGGCAATAAGGATACTAGGCGGTAGTTAACTGGCACGGTGGGGTCTCCTGACTTATACAAAGGACTAATAAACGATCGCTTGAACATCATCGGTACTGTTCCGGTGGACAGTGGTCCGTTAATGATATCCGTGAGTGGCCCAGCAAGGCTATCGGCACATTCCCTCAACACTAAACCAGGAACGCAATCACTGCCCGTGGCCTTCGCGGGATTTATGCACTTCAGACAAGCTTTCACATCACTCACCGGCACCAGTTCAAATTGCAGAAAGCTAGACGCTGGCATCGGTCCACTTGGTGGTGTTAGCGTGGATGGTCGGTCTGGGTCGCGCACAACATCCCCAAAGGTTTTGCTCAGGTCCTCGATGCCGGCTTGAGGTTCTTGACGCTGCTTAGCACGGCCTGTGACGATGTTCATAACTGACCACAACTTTCTCTGATCACGAGTTGCACACTGATTCATGAAGTAGGCATTACGTAGACGGCGATCCAGTTTCTATGCAGTAGAGCGGGCCTGACGGTGGAGCTCACGCAGATCCGCATTGCCTTTGTCGCTCATCAACCGGTGATGGAACTGGTTTCGCTCACGAACCGCGGCAACTAGCTCCGGTGTTAGCCAGGGGCAAGGACGTTTCTCCTGTCGGTGCCGATGAATCAATGGTGCATGCACATCCAGGGTAGATATGATAGAGGTGGTAAGACTCTGCACAGCATTTTCAAGATTTTCGGTAAAGGTACAAGTCGCTAGATGATGGTTCAAGTCCTCATTGAATGTGTTCCAATTTATCCGATGGAGTCGCCTACCTTGGCGTTTGGCGGCTGGGTGTCCAGAATGTGCCTTTCCCATGCCAAAGCCAGGCATATGGGCCAGGATGGCAAAATGATCGCTCATATCAACATAGACAGTGCGACATACACCCTCTATGGGAACGTTAGACAAGAACAGGTCGATAACAGATGCCGAAGAGGACGTAACTCTTGTCGGCTGAGACACATGGTTAAACAAGTTGCAGTGTGTGAGTGTGGAGTGCACGTGATTTGCACGGCTGGCAAGAGGATCGGCATAGTCCACATTAAAGTCTCCGAAGAGAACTGTGCGCGACTGTCTTCCCTGCATTGCCTTTTCGATGTTGGCTTGGAATACATCCCAGTAAGCCACTGACTTATCTGGTGGACGGTATGCACATCCCACCAGGGTACTGTGCTTTTGCTCCATGACCTCAATCCACAAAATTTCCAAATCTGTTTCCAGATCAGCACGTCGTTTGACACGAGTCGTTTCATGACAGTATATGCAAATGCCACCGCCGTGCTGTAGGGCACGACCTTTCCTGAATAGCTTGTAGTGAGGAATGGATACCTCTCCATCAGTTACATCAGCAGCTAGCCATGTTTCAGCAACGCCCATGACATGCACACCATGCTTGGAAACGAAATCTTTGAGTTCGTCGACTTTTCTGCGGAGGCTGCAGATGTTAAGGAAGGCTATGCTGGTCATCTTGGGCTGAATTCATACTGCTGTGGCTGTCCTCTGTTTCAGATCTGTACTTGTCGAAATTCCAACACCTACTGTACAGTGGAGCAGGCCAGAAACGGCGGCTGTTGACTAGCTTCGCACTGGAAGCGTTGATGGTGATCCTAGCCGATGATGAGGATTCTTTGGGGAAGATCTTCACCTCATAAACACAGACAGGGTGGTCGATGTCTGCAGCTCTGCGTTCAATAAACAGTTTCAACTGCTCGCTCTGCATCTCGGGGAGCAGGTTCCCAACGAAGAAAACTGACTTTTTCTGCGTGGGCTTAGTATTCGTGACCAGCCTCCAAGAAGCTTCGACATCGTCCTGCATATCCTCAAATTTTTTGAGGCGATCGACGATCTTCTGTGCAGCACTTGATTTCAAATGTCCCTCTGCACGTGCTCCTGGGTCATCAAGGCCAAGGTCCGATCTCTGCGTAGACCGTCTACGGGGTTCATGAACCGAGTCAACGTCCTCGCACGTGGAGGTGGCCGCTGAAGCTTCCAGATCCGGTTGAGCATGGCTGTCTTGAGATGTTGGCGCATTCGTAGATCGTACGGACTTTGCAGACTCAGCTTGAACTTGTTCACCAGCTTTGAAACTGCTCCGTGCGCGGCGTGGCTTTCCCTTGCTCTTTGTCTCGTCATGGCCGACTGCCTTCGCTGCCGCCATTGAATACGTTGGTGATCCAGATTCCATAACTACCTCCTTCAGGGAGGAAACTAAACGGGTGAGGTCGTCGATTTTACTATTTAATCTTTTATCTCGATCGGCAGCAAGACTACGTTCCATTTCCATTACTTCGAGGATTTTAAAAAAATGGCTTTCA